TATCCCCCTACCCATTTCTATACTGACTGGTTTCCATAATCCAGCGGTTGCTGTGTTTTCTTAACAAAAGTAGTTGTCTGCTTCAGTCACAAGATTCGACTCACATTCACTCATATATTAATGGCTATTTTCAAATCTCATGTCTATTGCAGCAAAAATGATCAAACCCGGCAGATGGCTGTTTCGTCATGAGCCTGGATTTGCCTGTTAAAAGGAAGTATTTTCTTGCCACTGTAACTTTTGCTAAATGTTGCTAGAGTGCTACGCTCATGATGGATTAAGCTGGGTCTTTAAGTAAGGTCTTTTACCTGCTTTTTGTAACATAGCAATGATTATGGTCTTTTTTCCTCCTCTTTTGTAATATTAAATAACAAAGAGGAAGGTCTTTTTGATTGATTGATCAAATTAAAAGTTAGTTGTTCATCAATGTCACCAATGAATAAACCATATATGTTTAAAAAACAACATATTTGCTTAATGGAGTTGGGGTAGGATTCATTCTCAGAAGAGAAAAACTAAATAAGTCCTCCACTCATCTGTATTTGTCACAAAGTTCCCATCAACCATATGGCCTTGTCAGGTGTCATCAACTACGTTAGCACTCAGGTAACATTTTGTTTTGTGCACTTTTTGTTATGCTCTGGTTAACAGTCATAAAATGTATTCTAACCATGTTTTGCGTGGGTTAGATCATCACTGTTATAAATGATTGAAATGTCATAATATGAAGTGTTGTAGAGCCGGGGGCTGCAATGCAGTGGTAAATCTAGCTTTAGTTTAGAGAAAGCTGTTGCTGAATATGTTCAGGTTCTTCCTGAAATAAGATCAAGGTCACCAATTGTTTCAGATCTGCACAAAACAAAATGTTACCTGGATGCTGACGGAGTTGATTGATATCTGAAGGTGTCATGAGATCTGTGTGATATTTTGTGGCTTACAGAGACAAGCGGGGGATTTTGAGTGGTGATTCAGTTTTACTCTCTTGAGATCGACTCTAACCCCACTCGACAAAATAATACTTTTTTTTTTGTGTGTTGAATGTCGTTATGAAGCAGAATAATCCAATGATCAGGTCCAGATCATGGTCTAGAAATACCTTTAATGATACAATAAGTTCAGCGTTATTTTACAAACGGCTTCATTCACACACATTTTCAGATGCAGTTCATGCAGTTAAGTGTCTGCACTGTTTACCTGTCATCATCTACATTTCTCTTACTTATCACACACTATTGTTTTTTCCCTTTCTTCCATCTGTAATCTGCTGTCTGTCTCTCTCTTGTCACCCCTTCTTTTTCATCTGCAGCTATTTTTCTGTCTGTAATCAATCGACAATGTGGGATCAGACGAGTGAGACCTGCTAATTGAACAACAGCCTTACAAATACAAAATGAAGGCTATGTATCTTAAATCGACAAGGTTACTACAGACACTAACTCATACCCTGAATGGAGAAATGGGAAGCGCTGAGCAAAATTGCAGCGAAGTTTTCAATCTGGCTGTATACGTTGAAATGTAACATTTTAAGCACACATGTGTCTCTCTCCAGAACGTGACCCTCGAGGCAACCACCAATATTGCGAAATTCCTTGATCTGGCTCAGGTTAAGGTTAGTAATAAATGTCCATTGCTGGATGAGTTAATCAAATTAACATCCGAATTAGTCACTGGCATCTTCAGTAATTTGTTAAGAAATGAAGTCATGTATTAACAGTAAGTAGTGGGCCTGCATGTCTAATGCTCAATACACACAAGGCATAATAATTAGATTCCTTTTCCATCGTTTTTCATGAATCAGGAGATACAGTTCAAATCTCATTTATGCACATGTTTGAGTAACCTTTGTTGATCATTGTTTGATTATTGGATCGGTTCTTTAAGCCTGATCAAGAAGTTTTGTGAAAATATATACCTTTAACTGTACTTATATGGACAGCTGATTACTTGAGCACCAAGCAGAACAACACAAGTAGACTGCACAAATACTTTATGTTTCTTGGAAAAAAAAAAAAAAAAAGTGACAGTTCATCAAAATGAATAGACACTTTAGGGTGACGTGCTTTCAAACAACCCAAACATTGTGACAGATAATCACTGAGGGCTGGTCCAATACAATGAACATCACTCAGTCACTTGTCAGGTTGAATAACACTTTGTTCAACTGGAATTAAACCAGTCGACATATCTGCGGTATTGTTTAAGCATTTGTTTTGAGTGTAAGAACTGTCAGCTTTGTGAGACGTGCACAATATTTCAGCTTTGTTATTTTCTGTGAGTTGAATCCTATCTGTGTGGGTCCTTTATGTATCTTTGGTTGAATTTAGGGTGACAGAGAAAAAATCATTTTGTAACACCCAAAAGACTGCTCCAAAAGTTTGCTTTCTGATGAACTAAAATGGCCCTATTGCATCATGAAGCTACACGAAGATGGACTTCATGTAGAACTTGGTTCAGGGAATGATGTCATGATCCTCAACATTTTATTTACAGGGACAGAAAAATGCAACACATGCACATGCTTGTGAAGGCTAATAAATGTGGGCAGGTTACGTTGTGTCTACACTTGCTTAAATGATTCAACACGCTCACCACTGTAAGGCAACATCTCTGGGCCCATATTAACTGTCTCCATGTTATGAAGTATTTAACAGCAACTCCTCTTGCTTAGAGTTACAAACACCACAGTCCGTCCTTTGGGAATGTTTTAAAGATACAATATGTAGATTTCACCGCCAGAGGGCTCTCAATTAAAACTGCATTAACAAAAGATGTCGTCAAGGCTAACGGGGAATCATGGGAGCTCTCTCTGCTACTCTTCATCAGGTGTTTCCACGGCAACGATAAACATTCTGTCTGTCATGCCGTCATATCAGGGCAGCCGCCTCCGCAAGACACGTCTCATTACAACCCTACAATTACAGATTTCTCTGACTTTGATAACTTTTGGAAATGTTTTATGTAATATAAGTACTGAACAAAAAAACATTATAACATGTGTTTAGTCAATTTATAATGGATTTACATATTTTAATGAAAACATTGTTGTCAAATTCTACATTTTGTACACTTAAAACAAAATTTAAATCTCTCTTTTATTAAGCAGCTCAACATTTCTTTGATTTGAGGATTTCAAAATGCTAAAAGACTCTTTCCTTTACATGCCAATGAAAGGAAATAGCAGGCTTGATAACCACAAAATAATACAAGCTACATTTAAAAGGAAAAGGTGTGTGTGTGTGTGTGTGTGTGTGTGTGTGTGTGTGTGTGTGTGTGTGTGTGTGTGTGTGTGTGTGTGTGTGTGTGTGTGTGTGTGTGTGTGTGTGTGTGTGTGTGTGTGTGTGTGTGTGTGTGTGTGTGTGTGTGTGTGTGTGTGTGTGTGTGTGTGTGTATTGAATTGTCTTGGATCTGCATGAGTACACTCGTAAAACACTGGCATTGTCACTTTCATTTTATGGTATTTCATTCTGAATGAACTAATCCAAAATGTCTCATTATTTTAGTTCTGGTTGCATCTTTTCAGACATTTTCATCTCTGAATACATTTCTCACAGTTTGATTTATAGTATGAAATAAGGCCCCTGACACATGCTGCAAAAGGTTAACTCATTTAAGGTTAACACATCACGAAAGCTTTCTTTTTTCTTTCTTGAATGTGGCATGTTTGCCGTCATATAGCTTTATGAAATTTTTGAAATTTCAATCAAGCAAAAAGGAACTTGTTCAGCGGATGCAGCAGGAGCCAATTATTTCTCCCTCTGAGTGAAGTATTAACAGCTAGCTCTCAACATGAATAGCATCTCTAAACAATGAATTATTATGCATGTGCAGACTTAAGAGATGTAATTTAAATGTCTTTTAAATGAATCATAGATGAAGAGAAACTGAAAAGCGGGGCTACATAAAAGCAAAACATAACAATAGTATGTGAGGACACTGCAGGCTGAGACATGATGGGCAGGTGCTCATATGCATGATAACTTGATGCATCCTCTGCTGTTGGGTGTTGCAGTGCTGCCTTAGAACAGTGACTTTATCACTTGCACTATGTCATGGGAGAAATGCTTCTCAGTCTGCGCCAGCAATGCTGCAGAAACTTTTTGGTATGCAGCTCCAATCAATCAGTCAAAAAGTTTGACACAACGTCATCAAGCCTTTTGTTGATGGACCTTTGCAGACTTGATTGCAACTTCTTTTATTCAGTTTGGCAGTGCATGACAGTTTCTGTTAAGAAGAATCTTTCTGAATTTATGATTAATTTTAAATTCAAGAAAAAAACGCTTGACACAGAAAGTGAGAACTAGAATGGTGACTCGATCTGATTCAACAGGGGGCATCTAGACATTTTTGAAAAAGTGAAGAAGTGCGGTAAACACTGAGGTATGTGACAGTGATGCCACCAAATCAAGCATGATTTGAGCCTATTCACCTTCACCAACACAGGAACGTTTTTTGTCCTCGTGTAGCCTGTTTGGAAGCAGCTGGTAACCAGGACGCTGCATGTGTCAGCTGTGTTGTTGGCTGTGATCATGTGTGAGCTAATACTACATCAGCCTCATGGAGCTGTCTGTTCAGCACCACAGCATGAAAGAAAGCATACCGATTTCAAAGAAGAATCAAACTTTAGATCTAAGTGCTGGTGTCCTACTTAAAGAGAGTTGCAGGCATGTTAACATGGGACTAATGTTTCTCTGTATGTATTGTAATAACCCCACAAACATACATCGATGTCTGTGTGTGTTTACGGCACACATACATCATTAAAACAAACTAAGAAATGTGAAATATTTGTGTAACTCGGGAGTATCTTCATCTTTTTTTTACCCTTGTAAGAAGAAGGTACACAATTTTAGCATGTCAAAATTTTGGCTCATAGTCGCGAGGACTGCTCTTGGGGGGGGGGGGGCTGAAGTAAAACATCTGTCCAAGCATACACCGAGACAAATGCATCTATCTCAGAAACAGGACCAATGGATACCTGGATGTTTCATTATGTTCCTCACCTGTACCAGTCGAGCCCTCTGTCGTAGTTCCTGTCGAAAAAGTGCGGCTCTGTTCCGAGCGCGCGCACATCTGGATGTATCCGGATGAACTCCAGCACCGCTCGGGTGCCTCCTTTCTTCACACCGACTATTAACGCATTAGGCAGCTTCTTATTCCCATATTTCTGCGCCACACTCGTGTTTCTTAACTTCATGTCAGCCCAGTGACTTCCTGATGAGTCAGGAGATTTGTTCGATCCTCGCTGGGCAGCCGACGCATCCAGAGCGGACCTGACTTCCAGCGAAGCGCAATTGTCCAATTTCCCCAGAAGTTTCTTCCCTCCTGCGTTCTTGCTCGGCGGGCATCGTTTCCCCTCGTAACCCTGATTTGTCATGATTGTGCCGCGACAGAAAAGAATACTATAACATACATAGGAGCAGGACAGTGACACAGTGAATATGAAGGCGAATCTGGCTCTAAATCTGTTCGTTGTTGAGAGGAACCTATGTGCCATGTCTCCATGGGTTCAACGCGCTGCATGATTTTCCATCGGAGTCTCCCTCCTCTGTTGGTCTGCAGCTGGAGTGTGGCAACAAATAAGGTTGTAAAGTCAGACACACTGGCATATGAGGGTAGGGGGCGTCCATGGAGGCATCAGCTGCGCGTAAGTCCCGTTATTTCTTTTCATAGGCTGTCTAAAGGTGCGAGAAACTTGGAGCAGAATATGATTTCAGCAGCTTCCAAGAAAATAAACGGGCAAGTATATAAACAAGTTGCTGTTAAGTAGTTAGAAGTCAATAATCCGGATCAATTACTGATGCCACTCTCCTACAACGAGTCCCAGAGGAATTGTGCGCACATCTTCATCCTCCAAATAAAGCCCTATGCGTCCTCAGAGTCCTTAAAAGTCTCACCAGTGCTGTCGTGCTGCTCGCCTGTGACATGATTCCGGTGCTCATACACCCTCTCCTTCCATAATGAAGTTGTTAAGATATATATATTCACTTAGGCTGACGGCTATAAATATTTAATCTACCTTCTGACGTCATGATCACGATCATAATTCTATGCTCGTTTTGTCTTTTAAAGGAACATCCTGAATATTTTAGGCTTTTTGGGGGGATTTCAGATGGAACATTTGGCACCCTGAGTGGCATACATTTAGTCTATTTAGATTAATTCAAATTAAGTTTCGTTATTTCTGAGTAGTTAGAGCTATAACTGAACCTTATGACATACAGTTTCATAATGTTCAATTCATTAATAACAGGTCTGATTCCAGAGGAGTTCAGCAGAGCACCAACGTGTTACAAGCAGCTGCCAACAGTTTTGTAATCACTTTTCTGTGCAACATGTTTACTTGCCTTGAAAGAAAATGACTTATCAAGGCTGAACATTCAGACACGAGTTCTCTTACACACAGCTTAAGCAGCCTCTAAAGTCAAGATCACACTTGATCCTCTGTGTTGCCATAGTGCAAGCTAAATGCAGGAGTTATACTTTTCAGTATCAGTGTTGTGTTTTAGCTGGTTTCATTATGTCCTTGAATAGCAAAAGCGATATTCAAGTGTTTTATTTTTAATTAAATACTAAGAAATGACTATATTCACAAGGGAACATATTCTGCAACAGCCCATACGACTTTCATCAGGAGAAATGCCATAACTCAAAAAATTCAAAAACACAGAATAACCAAAAAATACACAACAACATAATCATGCTGCAATTTAATTATGCTAAAAAAAAGTAGAGACAAATGCAAAAAAATACACATACAATGACAAGTCAAACACAAACCTAGGAGCATGCATAAGGAAAAAATGGATATCCTCATGGCTCCAGACCTCCAGACCTTTAGGGGAAGATGGAGAAAAAGGGAGTGACCAGACACAGAGTTACTGATTCTACAACTATAGACATGGTCAGGACAGGGTCAGTGACCAAAAAAAATAAAATAAAAATAATCTTTATAATGAAACACATGTTATCTAATTCCAGTTCCAACTAGAGATCTGTAGCCCTTTTTTTCTTCCTAATTTTCCCCAGCCCATTTCTCCTTTATTCTGACTATTCTAAGCTGTTGTGGCTCATCTCATCAACCACTGTCCATTTCATTGAAATAGTCAATTTTCTGTATGGCCCTGCTACAGTAAACTTGTTTTCCTGTTGAAACAAAAACATTCAATTGACTGTGTTGCCAACAAGAAAGCACCACTGGTACACAAGCAATGAGCAAAGATCTCATTGGACCACAGACTCAGGTGATTGCAGTTAGTCGAAGTCGTATTGAGATAAGTGACACAGACACCTTATGGTTTCACCTACTGATGAGTGCTGTAAATGCATTACTCAATAAACCCCCCCAAAATAATTATTAAATAGATTTGAACAATTGGACAAATTGTGTCATATTTGGACTCCTGGTTCATGATTTTTAATTTTTCTTGATAGTTCTTAGTTTTTATGTTTTGTGTTTAGTTAGGGGCTTTTATGTTGTTTAGCTGTTTTGTGGCTCTGTCCTTCTGGGTTACCTGATTCAGAGGTTTGGGACGTTCCAGTGCGCTGGGGATTTCAATCACGCATGATGATATATTTAATATCTTTAATTTAATAATTATTGTCTTCTAATAAAACATTTTATCAAGTTTGCTTCAGAAATGAAAGGGCTTCTGTCCTGAACCATGAAAATGAAAATAGAGTTATCCAATCAGATTTGTTTGTGTTGTTGTCTCTATGCAGAGAAAATGTTAGTTGGCTCATTCATTGGTTAGGACTTCATAACCAGGCCAGAGGGGCAATGCCTCGTGTTTATAAGAATGTGACAGGTGAATTAACCAATCATATTTTGATTTGTGGTGGGTGGCCAAAAAAAGATTGCCCTGGGCCTTCCGAAGGCTATAGTTTAAGTTTTTTCTATGTTAGCTTGTACTGTGGAC